GGAATAGCTTCCATTCATTTGAGCAAGCCAACTATAATCTTTGTCAAAGTAAGAAGCTTCTTACTGGTAGAGGAGAGTGTCTGTTTCCCAAACATATATGAGCAAGGGGAGCTCTCATGGAGCGATGATGTCACTTTTTAAAAACAAATTTATTTTAAAGGTAACATCTTTTTGTCTCTTTTGTAAGATCAGGGTTCCAATTGAAAAGGCTTGATATGCCCCTATAATGAATGTTTATCTTGGAGTCCTAAACTGGTTTAAAGGTTAAGGGTTATAGGTACAAGAAACATTTTTTTTATTCTTTGGCAGGTAAGAACAAGAACAAAATTAGCTGTGACCAGAACATTTAATATTTTTTGAAAAAATCCTAAACTCTTGGGACATACATTTCTGACCAATCAGACACACGGTCAGACAACACATTAGAGAAAGACTATGTATGTCTTTATTCTTAGAGTTAATGTCAAAGCCTGATTAAAAAAAGTGGAAATAAAGACCAGATTTCTGTGCCCAAACATGAAGAATAATAACACAAATAATTATGACAGTAATAACAAAACAGATTATGTGGGGGAGAACATTTTTTTGAATGTATTTTTTCCCCACTTAATCTGTTTTGTTAGTACTGTCATAATTATTTGTGTTATTATTCCAGTTTTGTTGTACAGAAGAATGTTGTGCTCTTATCTCTTGGCAGCATACTGCATGAATGGTATGCCTTTAGAAAGTACATGTACTATTAAGTTTTTATCCCTTTTATGTACAGCACTACGTTTTTTTCTCTACATCTACATATCCTGATCAAACACATTTCAAACTGAACTTTGGAGCCAAGCAAACAATGCAGACATACTGAGGGAGTAAAAAAAAACAGGCAAAAAGTCTTTGTTCTTTGTTGTTTTTTTAATGTACAGTACCCGGCTTGTGTTCCTTCTCTGAAGAGGTTCAGAGCCTTATCTTACAAGAAGCGTTTAGAAATCTTTTCTGCCCCTTTGTTTTCACATCTGACATCCTCAAAAAGAAAATGCTTTCGTCTCATCTTATTCTAAACGGAGGAACAGATCAATGCACCATTACTTCTCCTTCTTTCTTCATCCTTTTGAGATTTTCTCCGTTGTTCAACAAGAAACGTTTATCAGCATCAAAGCCCCCCTTTTTTCTCCGTGGTACTTAAACTGTTGCAGAGGGAGTAAAACAAAAGCATCGCATCTACTCTTGCTGGGTAAATCAAAACACAGCCTCCAATGTTTTTTTGGGGCTTTCTTTGTTGCACTATAGAGAACAATGGAGGACCCTCAAAATGACAACTGTGCAGTACTTATTCTTGACTAATTTATGCTTCTGTGGACAGTGGATTCCAGCAGGGAATAAGCCATATAATTTCCCTGTCTGTGTTAAAAGAACCGAACTATACCTGAGATTTATTACACATCTAAATACTTTCTTCAAGCCCCTCCCCCCACCACAGAGAGTGGAGAGGACAAGTCTGCTAATTTATTTGATCCTGATTTCAGAATGAGTCTCTTGCTTGTGAAGGAGGGAGGGGAGGGAAAAAGAAAGCTGACAATTTTGTAGATGCATGGAGACTCTGAAGACGTAGGATACCATGGTGGGTGTGCTATGCAAGGAATGTCGGCACAAGTCGTAACTAGGACTCCTGAAAGGCACTGTTCTTTCCATGTTGCTGGGGCTAGCATAGACCGTGTTTTGGCACGGAGCCCAACGCCCAGCCCGTTTATCTGTCTCATTATCAATGTGCCTTTTTGTGCCCTCAGGTTCTTGATTTTGATGAATAGGAGTTAGGAGAAGAAAGAACTCTGCAAAAGGCCCGCATCTAAATGTCTCTAAACCACAGCAAAACGAGTAATTCAAATACCAAGCATGACTTTTCCAATTGAGTTAACATTGATATTTGTGCATTCAAACCAATTTCTGTCAACATTCTTAGATGAATAAGTTCTTTGGAAAATTGTAGACATCATGCAAGCTGTTTTTAGAAAGTGAGAGAATAACAAGCTTTATAAAGGTTGTAAATGGCTGACTAGTTATAAATATGACTAACATACTCTTCAGAGTGGTTGCTTTTTTGCACGAAATTAATTTTAATTTCATTTGAAATTAAACGGTTTCAGTCTCTTTTCTTAGCTAAAACAAAACACATAATCAACCAAGAAAGGAGGGTAGAACAGTTTCTAACAACTTTTGGGACAAACCAGTTACCTGTTATAAATCACAATTTTTCTTCATATTTTGATACTCTTATACACTTATATGTAGTTTTCTGATAGTTTCTCCAAAACTTTTATTAGTCTTTTAAATACTTTTTGTTCTTTTTTTTGAGAATTATTATTAGTGTTCTTTTATTCATGAAGACTTTTGCCTACCTACAATAAGTAAGCATAAGTATGATAGTAACTATAGCTATTCTTTTGTCAACAATGAAATGATCAGACAGTTTAGTCCACAATTAGTCATGTCTTATATCTGTCTGAGCAGAAATTACACTCAAAACAACTTAATTGAAATAACACAGTTTAGCATTAAGTTTTGTAATAAACTTAATGCTTAAAATTATGTTTAAAATATTTATCCATCAATTCATTGTCCAAAGTGCTTATTCCTGGTAGGGTATCCTAGCGTGTTTGAAATCAAATTTTTTGTAAATATGATCTACATTTTTAGCCAAGAGTGACATAAAATGTTGGTATTCCACTTGTACCTACCCAGCACAGCTGGACTCGACTCAGTTTTTTTGTATTTCTATTAGGGGTAGAAGCCTCCTTACAGTTTCAATTGTAGCGCCTACTTGGTTGAGGTCCTAAGTCAGGTCCATGGTAGGCTGTCAGGGGGCTGATTGGCCATGATGTCACATGACTCAGTAGGGAACTCCTTCATGTGAAAGCCGCCTATTTTAAATGACTAATTGAATATGTTTGAAAAAGTAGAAATATTCATTTTACATGCTTACATTCATTCTACATGCTTACTTTTAGAATGCATAAAGGTTCACTTGGTATTAAATGACATTTTTCAAACACACCCGGGTAATGTAGCTAGGTAAGGGTTAGGGTTAGGCTCTCTTTGCTTGCTCTACGCCACAAATTTAGACCACAAAAAGAAAGAGCCAGGATAAAGAGGAAAAATAAACAATTAGACTATCAAGAATGTGAAACTGGACATATTTTTAAGGCTTCTTCACAAATCAACATGGTACCGATTAAAAACTACTTCCAGTTATTTTGGTCCAACAATAAAATCCCAATACAAAAAGCTTAATACCGTTGATTCTACTTCAATGCCAATAAACAAGACAGTGATCAGATTAATACGCCTGGTCCGGGTATAAATATGGCTAGACTTTATGGAAACATACTCGATATTGTGCTATCTCCACAACGACATTGATTTTGGACATAAAAATCCAATGCACCAAAATTCTAGCCGGCATTCATTCAAACGTCTGCTAACTTGCCCGTTATGTTATACAGATAACGGTAATAGAAACATGATATGCTGGCCAAACATTAGTCATTTAGATGCTCATCCTTTGTGTTGCCAAAGAATAACTTAACTAGTAGTAATGCAACTTCCAATGGTACCTCTTTGTCTTCGTACCTAGACTGTACGTCCATCTTTCGTTAAAAATAATCTCCAGTCACAATGAAAAATCACAGTCACGTCATTTTTTGGTTCTATCCTGCTTTTTTATTTTTATTTCTCTAACATCCATTGATTAAGATTTAGTGTTTCTTGCATTTCATAAGAATATGGTGATCTAGTAGAGCAGGTAAACCTCACTATAAATATTCTTATAACCATGGGCTTTTTTAATATGCATTTAGGTTGTTATTGGCTATTTTATTTAGCATATTTGCCGTCATTTGTTCCACAGTAGGTGTAAATGTTTCCTGAGGTGTGCAGCACTGTAGGTATGGAAAAAGAAACGGCTGTTTATTGTAACAGAGTCTCTACTGTTAATACTGTATAAGTGAAATTCTTTCTCCTGCCATTTCTCCGTCTGACCCCTCCAAACACACAGATATGCGATATTCCACACCTATGTGGGAGAAAACAATCGACTGTGATGAATGGAGCTGTATTTAGAGGGCTTTCCAGTCTGGTTCCTGTGTGGGTCTCAGTGAACAATCAAGCCTTGACTGTTAAGCACCGCTGTAGGATGTCAGAAGATATTTATGTGTGAGTGTTTCCAGTTGAGTGTCAAAGGCAAAGGGTGGAAATGTGAGACAGAGATACATTTGGGATGTGTCAAGATACATCAGTTTATTTGAGTTTTGTTAAAAAAATTAGGCTCTAGAGTCTAGACTTTATTAGAAAGTGAGATTGTTGTCGACATAGCATTTGAGTTTGATACTTGGAGAACAGAAGATGCATGCATGTAGGAAAAAAATTAAAAAAGAACGGACACAGTAGAGTTAAAATAAGATACTTTTGCCAATTTACACTTGTAGCAGTTTTCATTGCCGTGGAAGAAAATGCAGATTAGGATCTCTGTAGTGTAGCATGAATGAATAAATGAAAACATGGGGCAGATAGCAGCACGTCGCTTCCAAGGTGAGTGGAAAGTAAACATTTTCAGTCTTACAGACGATAGCTGTGCTTATTGGATCAAGACAGCTGCATGCCTTCGTTTTATGGCTGTCAATCTGCCTTGCAAAAAGCCACGAGTCGACATTGTAAATGAGGTGGAATGGTACATTTCTGCAAGGCCGAGTCACTTGTTTATGAATCATTTGGCTGACACGAAGTTGTCAAGAGGCGCTGAGAGGGAGAATGGCGAGGCACGCAAAGGTGAGGAAAGCTCTCCATCCTGTCAGCGCTGTCAGATGAAGGAGTGTTGATCGGCAAAGGGGAGCAAAACACACACGGAGGCAGGGATTTCTGGCGAGCTCAGGTAAAGAAAAAAAAACAAAACACAAAACCCTTAATGTCTCTCCCCCCACTCCCCCACCCCCCTTTTTTTCCATCTCTGTGTTTTCCAGAGTTGCTGGGCTCCAACAAGAGACTCAACATCAATTACCAGGACTCAGACGGGTAAGAAGCGTGCATGTGCAGACGTGCTTGTGTGTGTGTGTGTCTCAACTTGTAAGATAAGCATGAAGCCATCGTCTTTGATCAATGTGCAGATTTAAAAAAAAAAAACAAGACTCGTTTTATGACTGCGTCCTGTTTTCAGTCTTCACATTGACTCATAATCAAAGCACACAGAGCTACTGACATAATGTTTTTTCTGAAGTCTTGTGTCACCCTTTGAGTAAGAAATGACAGGAAACTAAGTTTGTGCACCTCACTGTACCTGAAGCATGGATGGATAAAAGTAATCTCCTGCTTTAAATGTTTATCATGTGCTATAATATTCAGTTGGATGGTTTAAAGTGGTCTCAAGAATAAATGTAGCAGCAAATTAGATTTTATTTTTATTACTTAAATTTTACTTTGAAAAGTAAAATGGACCTTTTCACTTGCAGAAACGGGTTTAAATCTTCCAAGCTACCAAGGAATAGCATTAGAGCACTATGGCAGTTTTTATCAAGTGGCCAAATAGTATTATTACAACTTCTTTATTCGTCATGTGATGTAAGTAAGACGAAAATTAGATTTCCCCCCCTCACACAATGATGAACGAGTAGCTATGAATTAAATGGTTAATACATTCTAAATTATTTGATTGATTTGGTTCAAGCTAAATATAAGGTAAAATATTTTTATCTCCGTCAAACATCCATCTCTCCATGTTATACACCCACTGGTATTGCTTAACCTTATAACAGCTGCCACTGGGTGAGAGCAGGGTACATTACAGATGTTCACAGACCATAATAATGAATGCCAAATCTTGTTTTCAAAATTTGTTTGAAAACTAATTTGCAAGTGTGAATGTCTTGAATGGCCCCATACTTATGGCGTTAATGCTTTAGGGGCGGAGCTTGTAGTGCTGAACATTTAGTACTTCTTCTGCCAAGCCTTGGGTTGAATATTTTCTGTCCCGCTCATGGTTCTGATTCACTAGTTTGTGCAGCGTGTCGTAATGCGATGTGTCTGGAAACAGGGTTAGGGCGTTTCGTAGCTTTTTCCTTTAAAAACGTTTCTAAAACACATTTGGCTTGTCCTCGTAAAATGATGGCACAGGTGACTGCCAGGTGTCAGCTGCAACTTTTGTTTTCTGCGGGGACTTTCTGTGGCACATTTGGTTTAAATGCGGTCTGTATAAACAAGGCCTTTTCGTGACCGTTGTTTTTACTTTTAATTTGTAATTGAGGTGAATACATTTTGGGTATGAGGGATGATTCCTTCCTCCTTCTATATGTTGAATTTTGTAATGTAAAGACATTTGACTTTCACTCTTTGTGTAAAAGTCGTATGTCCAGATCACATTTCAGAGTCGCCCATCACGTGTTAGACATTTGTCGTTAGGATATCACAAATTGGAATAATCCCAATCCTAACCTTGTCCTGACCCACGTGCAAGTGTGATAGCGTTGACTGAGAAGTGCTGCGTGTGTCTACATGCAGGTTTAATGCTGTTTGTAGGAAATGACACCCAATAGATGTGTTGAAATCAAACTTGTCCAGGAGGGAGGGAGGGAAGTGATGAGTATATGGAGGAAGGGGTTACCTCATATACATGAGCTGAAGAGCATTGCGAAAGGTGAGCAAACAGTAGCTCGTCACTGAGTCAACACCGTACCCGGTAGACACAATGAGTGTGTGTGCATCAGTGGAAAGTGTCTGTAAGAGGTGACATGAGATGTGGACAAAGTGTTGTCTCACTTTGTATTTATGAGACAAAGTTTATTCTGTGTCTATTGTACATATTATCATAAACAACAGAAATATTTTATATATATTCTCTGTCCCTTACTATTCTTAGATTTTCCATTTTCTCCCCATTTTCCTCAGTCCTCTTCTCAGCTACTAGTTAAGATAATATTTTGTGCTTATAAACGGGAGCATCTTTTGACCTGGTGACCAACATTGGCTGCTGTTTAATTGTTTGTGCTGAGGGGTAGGCCGTTTGCTTTGTCGATGGATTGAGTGAAAACATTGCTCATCACAGAGAGATTAATTAATTGTTTAATGTCCAAACTCACCAGAGAGTGGATAAACGTTACGTTTATGATACTCCATTTTATATCTCTTTTTTTTTCTCTTATCTATGCTTATTAGCACATCTTAGGGGTTCTTTTACATGTTTATTTTTTTCATCTAATATTTTTTTTCAAAAACAGTGCGTATCTCCGCACAACGTGTTAGCTTTCTGCCGAACAGTGGACTTTTGTGTAAGAATGATCCTTTCACTTTGCCTCTACTTTGTAGTTGATCAACCCCTTTATTATTTATTTAAAAACTACCTTAATAACAGCTTTGCTATTAATATGTGACCCCCACAACCAGGTTCTTGATTTAAAAAATGATGAGAAGTAATCTTCCTGGTTAGCTCAGCTAGCTGTTGTTAAATCATTTACTAGTCTGCACAAAAAACAAAAACGTTTTTAAAAAGCCTCTTGGTTTTTCATGGTTCAATGTATGTTTTACTTTGTTAGCTAGCTAAGGTTTAGCTTTGTGAGCTAGCTAAGTTATGGGTCACAAAAGTGTACACTACACAGGCCAACTTTCTTTTGGTCTGTGATAGCTAAGGTGGAGTACTTTGTTAGCTAGCTAAGGTGTAGTTTTGTGTGCTAGCTAAGTTGTAGCTCACAAATGTGTATACTACACAGGCCAACTCTCTTTTGGTCTGTGATAGCTAAGTAGGAGTGCTTTGTTAGTCAGCTAAGGTGTAGCTTTGTGAGCTAGCAAAGTTGTAGCTCAGAAAAGTGTACACAACTGGTGTACACAGGTCAACTCTCTTTTGGTCTGTGATAGCTAAGGTGGAGTATTTTGTGAGCTAGGTAAAGTGTAGCTCATAAAGTGTACATAGACGGTGTGCACGCAGGTAACATGGAAGTTACCTGTGCTGAGTTATGTCAATTTTGAAGTGCAGCCTGTTGGTAGTTTGAATAGATACATTTACTCTAAGTTCTAACTACAGGAGGATTCTAGAGCAGAGGCTGCTGTCCAGTGTAGAAATCAAGATTCGTGGCAAATTTGTTGCATGACACATTGGGCTTCAAATTAATTTAGTTTGACATCTTCCTTGGATATTTTTGTTCCACAATAAAGGTCCTTGTAACCTTAAGGGTCAAATTTGGTTGTGTTAACCCACATTGTAGAAATGTATGATATTTTCTGTACTGTGGAGAGCTTCCTGCAAATTTTGAGAAATAAATAAAAATAATCATGTTACCTAAATCATGTTCAGAATATAATTTTCCTGCTGACAGTGAATCCAGAAAATATTATTAAACAATATTATTATTATATTATTATGCTATTTTACAGAGATTTGTTTGGAATCTTTTCATTTGGACCCACTGACCTGCAATCATCATTACTATTTATTCAACTGCACACACCTAAACTTCTACAAGTGAGGTGAAAAGGGCAAAGCCAACATGATTAATAGATCCACAGTACTCAAAGGAGCCCTGAAATGTACAGACTTGTGAAAGAGCTACTCTACCTGGTGTGTCCAAAAAGCATCCCGTGAGCTGAAGGTTCTCAAAGGGACTGCCTGAGGACCCATGCTGCTGTTACTTTATCCCCACACGAAGACGCCATGCCATAAATCAGCTCTGGCCCTTCTCCTGAAAGCTCACAGTGGCTTGATTGCCTTAAGCAAATCCAAAACTCGCTGCTAATCGAATTCCTGCCTTATATTTTCCCCTCGGTGAAATACACTGCAGCTGGATAGACAAAGACCTCTGAGGCTTTGACAAACTTACACATAAGATCCTAAATTCAGTCATTAGCCTATAGTGGTGAAGACATACTGAGTATATACGCTGTCACATTTATAAATACAGATACTCTCGTAACTTGACCTCATTTGAAGCTTTGATGGTTGAGAGTCACAGAACACATAAATTATTGTCAGAAGCAGAAGTGAGTTTTGAAAAGTCTTTGGTGTGATTTATAAGTCCTGTCATCTTCTCATCTCTTCCCCTTGCCGAACTCTTCTGCCTCTTGCCCCTCTCCCCCCTCCCCCCCCCCCCCCCCTCGCCCCCCCCCCCCCCCCTCTGTCTGCGTTTTGCCCACAGCCTCTCGCCGCTGCACCATGCTGCTCTGACCGGCACCACAGAGCTGCTGTCCCTGCTGCTGGAGGCCCAGGCCACGGTGGACATAAAGGACATCAATGGTATGATGATGACAGAGAAGTTTCCCCAGCTGACCTAGTGTTAACCCCCCCCCAAAAAAGTCATAGCTTTAGATAAAAAAAAGTTTTCGCCCAAGACGTGAGTGGAGTCAAATCAGGCCTGGAACTCCGACAGCTCTCCGACGCTGAGCTGAGAATGAGTTAGACTCATTTAAAGAAAAGTGTGACTCGCTTTGAAGTTTGTCTGCAGTGCTCTGACAGCAGCGCTACGGCAAATATTCATAAGGTCCAGGCGGACCACACACAGGGGCGTTTGGAGCGGCAGCTCCACTGCTGGGACCAGAGACGTGCTGTGCTCATTAGCATGTGTCCAATGCCCCTGAGGTCAGCTGGACATAGTCCTCAAAGACTGTGTCAAACGTTAGATTCTTAGCACTTCCAAAATGCTCATAGTTTATTTAACCAAGACTAATGTACGCACAGACCCGTATCTGAACAACTTGGAATAGTCTGTAAAATGCAATAAATTATCTTAACAAGAGCTTTCATTTACTTTTATTTTATAAAATATATTTTGTCTCTTCAAGATCATTTAATTGTTTATACATTGTTTGTATTTCAGACCAAAACAAACTTGTTGCACTTTATAATGCTAGCATTATTTCTTATAACCCTTATAAGGCTTTCTGGTACTATGGAAACAAATTATTAGGAATGAATTATTACAAATTAAGTTATTTTGTCACATTCTTACTGTAGCACATCTTAAAGCATGCCACAGAGTGGTAGCTGGAGCGTATTCTAAAAAATTCTATAAGGCGAGAAATGTATGGGCATCCCTGCCGAAGGCTGCAAATGTCACTCGTAATTATCAGTGATCAAAGAGGAAAGAAAATAGCTTTGTAAAGGGTACTGATACTATCAAATAGTGTGAGTTTTGGACCTGATGATAACCAGTCCATGTGTTTTTTTTCCTCATTGTTCTGAAGCAAACAGTGATAAAAAAAAAAAAGATCTAGGATCTATTCATAAGACATGTTTCCATCTTTTTGTGTAGCAAAATCTAAAATGCCAATAGTTAAAGTTGTGATAGTGCTCGACTAATGGGTTTCATCCTTATTCCTGCTCAACTGTTTGGTAGAGCACATTTTTTCTATAGGATACTAGAGGAAGTGCACTTACCTAAAGTAGTTCTAAAATAAATTTTAGGTATGTTATGCCTAAATCAAGCATGAGTCATGACATTCTGTTTTAAAGGTTCACACGTTTACCATAAAGTGTCACCCCAGCTATCAGAGAAAAAACACATTGATTCTGGTCGTTGTTGCTCCAAATAAATTTAAAAAAATTGCAAAGAATATTGTATATTATCGTATATTATTGTATAGGTGTAGATGTTAAAGGTTTAATTGGGATACATGCAAACAAACTAAATTAAATCTCATACCTTGAAATATATGTCCACTTAACATTTAGCGACTATGTAGTTTTTCATCCCCAGAGGAAGTGTGTTGTGTGTTCTTTGTTGGTATGTACAGCAAGTCACCCTGGGTGTGTTAGTTTACACTTTAAACTGAGATTAGCTCAAGACAAATTACTTCCATGAATCTAAGATTAACCGTTAATGTCATTAGCGCAGGTGCTCACCAGTTACAGCACTGAATCTGTTTCTAGAATATATATATTTTTAGCTCTCCGTAATGTTGCTTGTGAACTTTTGTGTAAAATATCAATCAAAACCCAACTAAACAAGTTATTAATACGATAGACCAGTATGTGATTTTTAAGTGAACATAGAAAATAATAAATGTTCAGAATGAAACAAAATATAGGCAAATTTTAATTTTTTCTGCTTTTTAATTCTTTGTAAAGCACTTTGAATTGTCTTTTACACTAAATGTGCTATACAAATAAACTTGCCTTGCCTTTCCTAGTGCCTATATAACTGGTAACTTGCCAGTTTGCCACAACTGGAAAGGTTCCATCAATACTTAAAGGTATTTACAGACTTTAGAGTAACACATGCTTTTATTGTCATCTGAGAGATATACTTTTTTCAGAGAAGGCCTTGCATATTTCAGCAATACAATGCCAAACCACATACTGCATCTATTACAACACCACAGATCTGTAATGGGAGGTTACCAATCCTGCACTGATTGAAAACATTTTGGGTGTTGTGGAACAGGAGGATAGAGCAGAGGGAGTTCTATTTCAGCCAAGAATCAAGAATGGGATAGAATTCCTCTCTCAAAGGTCCAGCAACTGGTGGCAGTTCGCAAACATTCAATGTTGTTGAAGAAGAGGGTAAACATGGACCCCAAACATTTGACACATGTTGCTCCAATCCCATCCAAAGTTAGCTAATGATTTATTATGAAGCAGGGGAATGTATCACCTTCAGCATGAAGTATGCAAATCAGTGAATATTGTCTTTACACAGCAGACTTTTAACTTATAATACGACCATAAGTGCCTTTTTAACTTTTTTTTTTTTACCCTAAAACATAAAAAAATGCAGAATCTTTAGTGGTGTATCATTATAACAACACCTCTGATCTCCTACCCAAAGATGAGAAAATAATATAACTGTTAATAGTTATTTTGTGAGTGATAACCTGCTGTTTTTATTGTGTATTCCCTTGCTGTTGGCTCCAGGCATGCGGCCGCTCCACTATGCAGCTTGGCAGGGCAAAGCCGACTCCGTTTTGCTGCTGCTGAGAGCCGCCGCGTCCGTCAACTCCACGTCCTACGACGGACAGATACCCTTACACCTCTCCGCACAGTATGGCCACTACGAGGTGGTGAGTGCACACACACACAGACACCAGGAAGTCCCCAGGGGCAATACCAGTCCTCCCATTTCACTGAAATCCAACCCTTTTGTGTCTCAGCTGGCGTTGTCCGCCGACAATATCAGTGATGGTGTTAATGCAGTCACACTCGGTTTTACGAAGAGGTTCACACACACATTCCTTTCCTCCATTGTCATGTGTTTGGCAGCTGGAATGTTCTAAAGGGCAAACGCAGAGCGTAAACACACACTTCTCAACCTGTAACCCAACCCAGTCCTTAGCAAAACAACATTAAATAGTGACAATCCTAAAGAGAAGTCAGACAATATTCCTTTTTTTTTTTTTTAAAGATTAGTCAACTTGTTTACAAAGAAAATATTTTTGCACATTACATGAGGTTTTATTACAGATTGTTCCTCTCTCTCTTTCACCCAGTCGGAGATGTTGCTGCAGCATCAGTCTAATCCTTGCCTCAAGAACAAGGCTAAGAAGACTCCACTGGATTTGGCCTGTGAGTTTGGAAGACTAAAGGTAAAGGGAAAGTTTGTCATTTTAAAGTCATTAAAACGCACTCCATTAGGTTTTCCTTTTTTTTAATGATAAGTGTTTGCGCAATCAGAATCCCCCACTTTGCTAAGGCTGATGAGTATGTTGCCATGAACGAAATCCCTTTCAAAAATAGAAACCGATGAGGACACTCGAGATGGAGTTCTGTAGTCTTATTATAGTTGTCTAACATTTCAGTAACCAGTTTGAAAAAACTCGTTATCATCGCTATGTTATCCGATAAGGGCCGTAGTTGATGTTTTCAAAGAAATTATCTCCATTCATGTATCCAGTTAAATAGTGCAGTTATTTGAATGTGTGACCTCGCTTGGATTTTGAGTTCTTTTTAAATGAAGACGGCCTGTGTCAGATGTGAACCGGGGCTCAGGCTGACCCCGCTAAACCCTTAAACTGAGCCTGTTTGAGTGAAAGGAAAGCAGACACTGCAGCACTAAAGAGATTGCACTTTTCAGTGTACTTTACTGTTTCCCTGCCACATCAGCAGATAAGCCGGGATGCGCGGCGTATTGCTGGCAGTGTAATTTAGAATTAGACACATATACACACACACATGCACTTTGCCTTGCTCGTTAAATGTGTTCTTGTCTGCTCTGAGGTTGCAGTTTAGCTGTGAAATAATAGAGAGCTTAAGGCTGTTTTGACCACACACTGACTTTGTGAGAGTGGAGGTTGTAGCCTCTTTAGACAGCACTGGACAGTGGATACGGCTTTGTGTGTTTCACTAACGTGTGCAGCATTTTCTTACACTGTATATATATATTTTTTAGTGGAAAAAATGAAGGAGCGTGGTTTTACATGGATGCATCATTTATGTGGTAGTTCTGGTAGAATTCCTGTCCCGATTCCGCCAGCCACTTGTTTATCTTCCCATTGGTTTCTCTTAAGGTGGCTCAGCTTCTGCTGAGCAGTAACATGGTGACAGCGTTGTTGGAGGGAGAAGTGGAGAACGCCAGCCAGAGCTCCTCCTCTACCACCCCGCTCCACCTGGCAGCCAGAAATGGACACAAAGACGTCATCAAGTAAAACGAGCAAGCCGCCGTCTTTAAGTGCATCATATTTCTGTCACATTTCTCTCTTTTCTCTCCACTACTGAAGAAGTCCTTCATTTTTTCTTACCCTAAAAAGAGTAGCAATTCTGTCCCTGCTACTACATCTACTTCTGTAAATGTTATTTTCAGTTCTCCGGCTACAGTAAGAAAGAAAATGACAGTCTCTTTTTCAATGGTTGTATCCAAGAGCTGGCATAATTCAGACCTTGTTAGTCTGCTAGTGTATATTTTTGGGGTGAGGCGGTGCCTGTGTGTAGAATTCGACACACACACACACACTTGCCACTTGACGGGCGTGTGTGCCCAGAGGTCAGCTTACAGTATGTGTCCAAGTTAGACAGTCAATCCGACCATGACCACATTCAGACCAGTTCAGTATGACTTGAATCACTGAAGAAAAATCGCTGCAGCTTAAAAAGTTACTTAAAGGTAATAAAATGAAAGGCGTATATATTTGATGACATTTAACCTCCTGAAACCCTGCGTCCTCATATGAACACATTGCAGTTTTGCCTCTCTTTACCATCTTTTTTCATTCGACTCAGACCTTTTGGCCTCATAGCAGATGCTATCAGACACTATTGTTTGGAATCTAAAGTAAAACGGTTTTTATACATTTTCAACCAATCATGTTCTTATTGTGTAATTAAAATTTTGTAAATAAGTCATTTGTACCGTCAGAACCAAATTGCAGAAACATTTAATTTAATATATAAACAAACATTTTAAATATAGAGATGAATCCACGGAACGTATGAAGAACCTGTACCATGGCCGAGTCTAGTTATTATACTTATGAGGTCCTACTGATCCCATATAGCTTGAAAAAAGAAAAAATGCAAACCAAATAATGGCTCGGCTCTCAGGAGGTTAAAAAAGTTTAAAGAAGTGCATTTGTGAAAGGGATTTCACTCTTATCGGTTCCTATCAGCACTACTACTACTATTACTACTACTCTGAACAGCAATCAACCCCAAACTCCACCCCCTGCCCACATATCACACACACACATACACCCTTCCCATCCAGCCCGCCCAGAAATGTCAGCATGTCCACATAAATATGTGTGTACTTTGCCAAAATAAAACCCCACCCTGTCTCTCAGACATTCTGATGATTCCCATCTTTCCTGATTTATCTGTCGTTCTTGGAATGCTATCTCTCCTCTTTTCTCCATGTGCTGAGCTGGAAAGTTTAGTGGGTAAGATGCACAAACTGGAGTTTACACGTACAAACAAACCATTCCTTAGCATTCAAGTTTAGCGGGAGGTTACTTAGCAGAGTGGAGCTGTGATTGGCGCATCAATTGCTTCAGACCTCCACACAAACACCAAAGTATTTCTGGGGACCTACTGACCAGATTAAAGATTTTAAAAAATACAAGGCATTTATACAAGGAGTGCTAGGAGGTCCCTTAGAGTGGCAGGAGACATAATCCTGAGATTCACATAAACAGTGTGTACCATTCCGCCAAATCATCGAAACCACCTGCATAACATGGTTTGGTCTGCAGGTGACCAACACACCTCTGGCCAGTCAGGGTGTCGTGTAGGTCGCAAGTATCACACCAAGTCAACGCTGAAGCTCTTTGACAGTTCGGAGACTTTGAGCCATGTCACGATTTCATACCAACATGATTAAAACCGCTTCGGGCTGAGAGGAAGCAGAAGGCTCCAGGTCACAGTTGGAATATTTGACGTCTATTTTTCTCTGTTGTGGTGCTGGATGGTTAAAAATGTAATTGAACTCAAAATGATACATTTTTTAATTCCAATGTGAGAAAAAAATATGTTTATGTATAACCTCATATGACAAACCCACTCCTGTATTCATATAGAATTTCAATTCTCTATTTAATGATAACTCATTTGTACCCTTGGAAATACTCATAGTCATGAACTTTTCATAGCCTTACATGCCACTGATCATTAGGCATTTTGTTTATTTGAGAGGTCTTTGGAGGTGTCTGTCCTGCCCTTGTTATTTTCTCTTTCTCCCTCGCTCTCTCTCATTTTCAAACACACATACATATAAAATGTAACTGTTTGGCCATTGAATTGAAATGCGCAAAAACACTGGTGCTGAGACAGTGGTTGGAATTCAGAACGAGCACTGCACATGAATCCATCATCCCCCAGTAGTGGTTTTAGATTTCTTTGCATTTTTAAAACCGGACTGAAACTACATACAATGAGCCAAAGTTCTCCTCCTTCTCCTTCACCTCTGTTTGCATACGAGGCCATCAGTATTCCTTAATCTGGGCCCTCTGTCAGAACTGAATCTGTATTTATTACGATGTGGGTTGGTAAGCCGAGGGTGTGTGACTTAATGAGATGTTCCAGATGTGTGCAGCAGTCGAATGTGTGAATCTGTTTTTCGAGCTTGGCCTGCAGTCTCATCTGTGCTTCTGATTTGACTTCCCAGGCTGCTGCTTAAGGCGGGCATCGACATCAACAGGGCCACCAAGGCGGGGACTTCTCTGCACGAGGCTGCCCTCTATGGGAAGACAGAAGTAGTGCGGCTGCTGCTAGACGTAATGAGAGATTACAGTCACTGTCCAGTTTCTTTGTTTTTTAGTGGGCATCTAAATGCTTTGATTATTTTGAGTGATGGGTTTGTTATTTCAATATATGTTTGATATATTTGTGTGTGCTCAGGAGGGTATCAATGTGAACATGCGCAACACGTACAATCAGACAGCTTTGGATATTGTCAACCAGTTCACCACCTCCACAGCCAGCAGGGAAATAAAACAGCTTTTAAGAGGTCAGTAGCTTTTCTCGTGGCCATACTTTTGTGATAATGTGGGGTTTTGAGGTGGAAGGTTCTATTCCCCTTGCCTTGTAATGATAATGTGTTTTTGCCTTCCTCATTGCAGAAGCATCAAGTTCTCTCCAAGTCAGAGCAGTGAAGGACTACTGGAATCTCCACGACCCGACTGCTCTTAACCTGCGGGCTGGAGATCTTATTATGGTAGTGATTTTTGAGCCTGTTTTCTTTGAAGCCTCAACGTACCTTTTCAAAATAAATCATTCCTGTTGCAACACTAAATTGGGCACAGAGAGTATGGAATTTAGATGGATGGATAACAAAATGAGGACTTTTATAAAGACATTGCTATACATTGTTTTTAGCCATTTCATTAAACTATTGGATTTTTCCTTTATCTATAATTACTATATAGCAGTGTGAAAAAAATAAAGAAAATGCATATGTTTTACACTTTGAAGAGAAATTAACGGATAATCCTGATAATAATCCCTATCATGAGATGAATGAATGTCTTCAGCTTTGATAAGGTAACAAAAAATAATCATTATTTTGATTTTACCAACAACAGCAGTGATCATTTGTTTTCTGTTTCCAAAAAGGAGCTTTACAGCCAGAAAGTGATGCTGTGTCAGGGGTAACTGGCTATTAGTAATGTGACTAAAAAAATAGCAAAAAAGCCATTCTGTGTCTTTTTAAATGCTGTTCTGCGTGCCCTGTTTATGATCTCAGGTTGTGTAAGGATTATGTGATTGACTCATGTGAGTGAAGCCCTGTTGTTGGGATTTGTGAGGGATGTTTTGGGGTAATTTGGTGTACTCTGAACAAGAGACCACAGAAGAGAAAACAAGTGCAGACCTGCTGCTGTCAGTCTCTAATTACTTTCTTGTTTACTCAACACACAGATGCGCACACACACACAGAAACACACGCCAAATGTAGTGTGCGCATTTACGTGTTTATGTTCTTTTCTACGGTGTATTTTGATATCTTTATATGAGTATTCGTGACGTCCGAAACTCCCGTTTGAACTTGAATGCTGTTGTGTGACGCTTTTTCCAGGTAATTTGATCTTTATGAACAGATTTCCAGCTCATTGGCACTCTTATTATTGCATTTCTCACCTTAAGCTGATACACTGCTTACCAGGAATGGTGCTTCCCCCCCCCCCCCCCACTGCTTTCAAACTTTTGTCAACAAATCATGGAATAATTGAAGGGTCAATTTGTTGCACATTCTGCTTCAATGCAACTGTGACCTATTGTATCGCTAATCCATTCTTCTAGGGACAAGATTTAACCAGGGCATCTTGTTTTTTTTTGGTGTCAGGTCCTGGAGCAGCACTCAGATGGCAGGTGGAAAGGCCATGTCCATGACTCCCAGCGAGGGACAGACAGGGTGGGATTCTTCCCCCCTTCAGTGGTGGAGGTCCTCAGCAGAAGAGCAGGTAGATCAACTAGCAGCACACACACGTCCTCATGACACAAAGATATTGCGTTTATTTAATTTGACAACTGCAGCAATGTTTTTTTAATTAATAGTATGGAGCACATATAGATTAATTGAAGTTTCATTCAGTCTAACAAGAAGGTATTTTGATTTCCTTCAGACACATCATTATTGAGAATCTCAAGTTTTTACTTTGTTTTCATTACAAGTTCAATCTGGTCACATAAAGTGTAAACCATGTGTAATTAACACCTCTCTCTGCATTTCGCTCCCCTGTTTGTGAAATGTAACCTTTGTGTTTCAAGAAAGCAATTATTTAGTGTCTGGAAACTTTTTAAAAAGGAAGTACAACTCTTCGTAGTTGAGACACAAGGATCTAGAATCTTACAACATTTAGGTTTTAAAGTCAGGTGGACTTAGTTCTATGCAGAAACCCCAGAGAAGCTTAAGTGAAAAACAGATGTGCCGTTTTTCTGGTTCTGGGTCATATCTTTGCTGGATAGTTTTTAGAATTGGCCCAAAATTTTGGTCTGCCACTTATTTTTCCACCACATATTCAGTTTCCCGCATCCTTTGGGGCACAATGCACACCATTTTCAGCTAAAGGTTTTTTAGGAATGACCTTGATGCATTTTTTGTCAGATAAATAATTTTGGCCAAAGGAGAAAAAAACATTCACAAAAAAAAAAATGTTGTTAAGTAAAGAGCGTAACGATAAACTGATAATAGTTTATTTGCTTAGATGTCCTTTATAATTAGACACAACACAGGCTTATTCCTCGATTTAGGTGTCTTTTTTGTACTTGAATGCTTCATAAGTCCATGTTAAGTGACTTAACAAAACACACTTAGACTGAAAATAAGCTAAGGAGCTAATTTTACAATTACTTAAAACTTCTCAGAAAACAAACAACACTAATCTTGAAGCAAAAATATAGACTTAAGTGTTCTGCACAGAACAGCACATATATCATGACGTGAATAGCAAACAGTGTCAAAGGACCTTTTTTGCCTCTATTACACCTTTACCTGGCAGTGCTCACTGTTAAATTTGTTTTAAGACAAGAAAAGAAATCTAGTCTAATGAGATTTATTAACCTTAATATGACATAACTCTAATCCTTTAAAATATGCCACTAAAAACATGTCATTTTTTAGAACTGGGCACATTCTGCTTGCCTTAAAGAGCCGATGACACAAGAAGCAGCTCATTACAAAATATAACTGAGAAACTTAAAAGCCAGAGATAAATAAACTCATGTTCTTGACTGTTCTGAACATACTGACTCAGATCCCTTTGTGGTGGCATTGGAATGAAAGGATTTGTCTCTCATGCTTGATTTAAAAAAAACAACAGCCCAACAACAACAAAGGTGTCCACATGTCATTGCCAATATTGATGTTGCAAATGTTACAAAAGTTTAATGAAATAGATCTGTGAAACATGCTTCAAGTCAGTATTGACAGACAGAGGATAGAGAACCCCTAAGAAGTGAATGTGTACTCTTACTGGGCCTAGTTTTCTTGTCGCAGTGGGTTATAGCTGAGCTTCTAACATGTCTTGACTCTTGTGTACAAGCGGGGTCGGGTCATGTTGCCATGTGGTATCAGCAAATTGACAATTCATCAGATTGAATCCCTCTTAATAGCAGAACCACAAGCTTTATGATTGTTTTGCAGCTGTAGAACTCACAGCATTAAAAAAGCGAGCAGTGAGGGGATCCAGTACCAGCAACGGAGCCACAGACAAACACACATCCTCATGCACGTGTGTTAATAGGATTACTATGGCCAGATTGCAGAGTGTCAGCTCAGTGCTAATGCCCTCGCAGCCTATGCCAGGATATTGTGCGTTCTGTGTCTGTGTGTGTGCGTGGGTGTTCCTGCTTGAGCAACTAAAGTTTGACTGTAAGTCTGACAGACTGCTTTGGGAGGCAAGTGTGTGTGCAGCGTAAGTGGTGTCAGGAGCCATGGACCAATGGCATGGAAAGAAGTAAGCCTTTTTGAGTGTTGCTGGTTATCTGTTAGTCCCAGTCAGCAGGCTCTTATGTAACTCCGGAGGAGATTTAAAATGAATGTATCCATTTTTAGATATTTTGTCGAGTTTGTGATGTTGAAAACTTCCCGACAGAAGTGAAGGTGGTTCCTACGCCATTTTGCCGACACCGATGCATGAGCATGAGTTACTTGCCCTCACTCACGCATGCACACCTGAATCCAAACCTGTTTCCCTAAACCTAGGGGGTACTCTCTCCCGCCAAGCCTCAATGCCATCCCAGCGACATTTTTCATCCAGAGCTCCTCCCCCAGGCCCTCTCCCTCAGACCGATGACTCTTACATCCTTGGCTATGACCCTGCAGGTACACACACACCTCACCAACCTTTTCCCCTTTCTCGTTAATGCATTTCTTGGCAACCTGAACCCGAACAAGGAGAATCAACTTCAGCGAGAGACGGCCAAAAAACGCCCGACAATCGGCCTGAAACAAAAACGCTACAGCGCGACGCAAAAATTACATAGATAGAAACAACCAGAGTGTAATCAGCAAAAGAATTACAACTAGTGAAGTAATTACAGAGGGATTGACGACGATGTCAAAAAAGATGCGAAACAATGACAGCCATGACGACAAAGAGAAGAAAAAAAAAAGACAGCACGAAAAAAATAATATGCAAAACAATAACAAATAAAGGTTAAAAAAAAAAACAACAGATGAAAAAAGTTTTAGAAGATGTAAAAAGGCTACAACAACAGCTGCAAGTAATGCTTGGAATTACGCTCATGCAGAATATACACAAATGACACCAAAAAACAAAACGACAAAATACCACCTTATTCGCCTTATCTGTCCCTTTGGTTGTGTTGCATCTCTGGAAGCCATTGAGTGTTTTCTATGTCCTGCGGCCCGTTTCCCTTCACCAATCTACCCCTCCACCTCTCCCGTGGTGCCCAGTATCGGCTTGATAGATCCAATCCCAGCCCTGCGGTTTGCAGGGAGTACAGTGAGCGTGTGTCTAAAGTGTGTGTGTTTGTTAGGTGCTCCACTGGGCAGTCAGGTCTCAGCCCCCGCTAGCCCTGCTAGCCCCCCTCAGGATATTTGGGTCCTCAGGAGCTCCCCCACTGGTAAGAGTGTGTGGCCCCAACTACCTGTCCAACACCCTCCCATCAACTAAACTCCAACTCCGTGTGAACCCCTTTACACAACTAATAAAGCAGACCTCCTAAAGTAAGCTTATTCCCACATTTATCCCTTCATATCCCATAAGTTTTACCCTACCGCTCCATCTTGAAAATCCTCCGCTCCTCTGCTTTCCCCACAACCCTAATAATCCATTATAAGCCATAACTGTTTTCTTGCAGCAGGGCACAATGGTAGGTGAGCAGCATGCTTTCTTTTTTATTCCCCTTTTTTATTTTGAATTTTTTTGTCTCTGACTACTACGTGAAAGCTGATTTGCTCTTATCTGCTTTTTCACAGGAATGTAGAATAAATACACATCTAAACTCTAGATTTTAGATGGGACGACTCGCGTTAAATCCATGTGTACATCCGTTCATGACACATCTGAAGGGAGTTGTTAAGCATTAAAGCCCACTAATGTCAACCCTGTTTTCAAAAACGGTAGAACATATGATAGGTGAACATAGGTGATTCAGTACTGTATTGTTCGGACTATAAGTCGCATTTTCTTACATCTTTCGGCTGGGAGCGTGACTTATACTCCACAGCGACTTATAAATTAATAATATACCAGTAGATTCTCAATTTATTTACCTTAAGTAAACAATTTTATGTAACAGAGTCACTCTATGTTTTAAAACGGCCACCGGAAATGTAAATGCAATGCATCATGGGCACTGTAGTACAACAAATATATTATCATCTGAGCTTTTCATGTTAAATTAACATACTTGTATGTCCATGCGACTTATAGTGCAGTACGACTTATTTATGGTTTACTTTTCTTTATAATGAGTGTAGTGGCCGGTTGGACTTTTAGTCCAGAAAATTTGGTATGTGTCTGATGATATCTGATTCTTTTCTAGCCCATCAGCAGTGTAAGTGTACATTTCAGCAGTAAACACAACTTTCATATGAAGTTTCATGTTAATTGTTGATATATGTGATTTACAGTTTTTCATGTTACAACCAAGTATTGCTTCCTGGGCTGAGCTCTTGTGTGCGCACTTGAGATCTGAAACTGCTGTTCTGACTCACAAGAAAGCAATAAAAACGAATTAACAAAACTAATCCTCAATGTATGGGATTAGATTTGTTTTTTACGGCGCTCTCAAATTCCCTCCAAGTGTCATTTTACTCCGCAGCCTCTCACTGTTGTGCTGATCTTCTCTGGTCGTCAGGTGACAGGAATAGTGTCGGCAGCGCTGGCAGCGTGGGAAGCAGTCGCAGCGCCGGCAGCGGCCAGAGTTCAGAAAGCAGCCACAAACAGAACGGAACTCACAATTACCACAATGCAGACAAGGTAGAACTTCAGGAAGAGCAACCGGTGTATTCTGGAAACATCTCTTTCGCATCTTTTTGTACATTTAATATTTTACTCGATGTGAGAAAAATGTGGGATGTATCAACCAATTGGGAGAAATCAGACAAGTAAAGAACAACCAGATAGAAATATTTGTTTCTGAACAACCGATTTGATGAAGTAAGACTATTGTAGTGATGTTAAGGTGTTCCTCCTTGGTGTCTCCTGCTCTGTGCAGCTGGCTCCCGCTGCCGGTGAACCAGGGGACAACCTTAAAGTTACAGCGGCAGACCAAAGCAAGCACGCTGACGGATCCACAGGTCAGTCACAGCATTTTCTGCTGGTACTACTCTGTTGACGCTTATGTTTTTCTAGTTTTCAATCAGTTTGGGCTTCTTCGGTGAATAAATCATATTTATTTGTTCATGTTTGATTCTATTTTTGAGGTATTGCATTTTTAAGTTCGAAGGTTGCGTTAATTTTTTTTTTTTTTGATGGGGGATTACATTTTTTTCTAAAACGATTTACAGCTTTAGTATTATTTTTTCATTCTTTAAAAAAACGTACAAAAAAAACGCTTTCTTTATACAGTATTTTGTTTCAAAGAGTTCTTGCCCAGAATTTGTTTCTTATGACTTGACTGCCTTTTTCATTCTAGTATATTTTCATTGTGAAGCCACTTAACTCTAAGTTACAACAAAGGGCATCAGCTCAAAGGATGAGTCATTTATGCATCTACACATAACACGCTTGGCAGATTTTAAGCTGGTGCTGGAAATCTCTACACTTAGAGTATCTGATACTGATCTTTATCCCACCAATTCAAAGGCTAAAGTCAACATAAACTAACATGGATTTTTTTTTTTAGAACAGGTAATACATTGGAGTTAACAGCATAAAATCCCCAAATACTATTATTGTAGTTCCCTTACCTTGGCTGTACTGTCCTCTACCTCAGGAATGTGGTTGCAGAAAACAAGATCAGAAGTGCTTTTGTTCTGCACACTGAACTATTATTACTGTCAGTCTGAGAGGAAATGAGACTGGGAGAATAAAGACTCACCCCACCTAACTTAAGAATCCAATAAAACCTCCAATTTCTCTCAAACCCTCGGCCCATAAATATGTCGTGCTGTCAAGGTAGCTAAATCTATGGGGAAAGAATGGGGTGTCCTCAGAACTCGGGGGTGTTTTTCCAAATGCATGGCGTCACTTTTGATCTCTGCTGACCTGGGGCTTAGTCGGGCGAGGTTAGGGATAAGAAACAGGGAGTGGGAGGGGAAAAACTCGAGGGAGGAGACAGAAACAGAAGGTAGGGAACAAAACACATCTGCTAAAGGAAGCAGTTGAGTGAGCAGTTGAATAAACCGAGAGATGTCATAGCTGTATGAGGGGCAAGCAGTAGGATGAAGTGCCAGACATCAGGAGGCATCACGCTGCTCTCATTCCTCCAAAATGGTATGAGCCTTTTTTCTTGTTTGTTTAAAGCTTGTGGAATGACAGAAATGACTGAGGATAACATGGTTTAGAATTCAAAAGTAAATGAGAGGCGAGTCAGTTAGAGAAAATACTTCTGAGGAATCGGCACTGATTTGAAAAGTTTTTCGGTCTTAGAAAGAAGGAAATGTTGACCCTGTTGTTCATTTTAAATGGCTTTTTTAAAATATCCAGTGGCAAGGAAAACGTTTTTTTCACACGCAAATAAAAGTAAAACAGTGAAACCAAGGTTGTTTTTGTTCTTTTTTATGGTTTCTTTCCACTTCGATTGTTTTTCAGATCACAAAAAATATTTTTTTTTTTTACCCTTTAACTTCCTGCTCATCTATTTGGTAGAGCACATTTTACACTGATTATTCGAGGTTATAGGATATACTAGAGTAAGTGATTTGTATAATCTAGCTCTAAAATTAATCTATGATTAAAGTACGTGATTTCTAAATTAAGCGTGATTTAGGGCATTTCTTTTTTTAAATTTCAAACTTTCAGTATAAAATGTCATCACAACTTTCTGTGAAAAGTATGGATTCTGGTTGTTATTGCTCCAAAGAAATGGGAAAAAAATGCAAGTAAATACTTTTTTTCCAAGAGCAGATGTTTAAGGGTTATGAAATTCTCAACTTTAATGGCCAGAAGGAATTAACTGACTTAAAGGAGGTGACAGATGCTCCAAAGTCTTTAACTTTTCCAGATTAAGAGCTGTTTTGTTGAAGTTATGCGTTATCTAAAATCAGCTCAAATTCTTACTCGAAAATTGTGATGCACACTATAAGATAAGATTTATTGTAAACTGGAATTATCATAAGTGGGATGAATCCTGGCAGGTGAAGTGGTTTAAAGAGAAGTGGGAGTGATTAAATCTGAAAGCTCTGCCTTTAGGGCAAACATTGAGGCAAAGATAGAGCAAATTGAAGGAAAGGTGCATTCCTCTGAGATCAGTGGTTAATTGTGTGTGATGAGTCAGGAGTGTACTGAGATCAGGTTGATTAGCCTCTTTGTCTCCCCAGAAGAGGCGTGACAACACCCACTATCTCAGACAGCTTGCCTTAAACTGACCTCACTAAGGCACACTGATTTGACACAAGGCCAGACTTTAAGTCTTTAATCTATCTTTGGGTGTGTGTTACTGTGGAGGCATTTCGGTACCATAATTCAAATAAGAAAGCATTAACAGAAATGCTTTTTAAATTTCACAATATAGTTGCATTTTCTGACGATAAAATGATAAAATGAGTCATCGTTAATACAAACTGCATTTTTATTTTCTTCTTCAAGACTGATCATTTTAAAAATTAGAATGAAAATGTGTTATTTTTAAAATGATAATTGTATTTATGAGTAAAAAATGCAGCTATAGTCTGAAAATAAAAAAGCCTTTCTGATAATGCATTTTCATTTTCAAATTTGGCATTTCAAATTGAATTAATTTTTTTGCATGGGGTTGTCATGAAAACAAAACAAATATTTTTCTTTATCATTTTATTTCACAAAACAAAACTGTCTTGAATAAGAAAATGAAAATGCAATTTGGATTAATTAATCATTTCATTGTGTCAGAAATTAGTTAAAAATGCAGTTATGTGGTCAAAATGAAAAGGCATATGTGTTAATGCTTTTTCATTTGAATTATGGTACAGAAAGTCTGTTTTCCTCTCTTAACCACCATTCCGTCACAACAAATCTGACAATCGCTTGCCATCCCTTAGATGATCATGAATGTTTTGTTTTTTCAGGTGGGTCCCGTCGGCAGGTCAATAGCACTCATCAAAAAGGCTTTGTAAGACCAGAACAGCTTCTGGACGGCAAGGTCAGTTAAAAAAGAAGTTAGGTTTTTGCAAGTTTGCGTGTATTTGTGTTTGTATCTGAGAATTTACACATATCCGATACTTGCTTGTCTCTAGGACTCTGAGGCCATCTACCAGTGGTTGTGTGACTTCCAGCTCGAGCAGTACACTTCGAATTTTATCAGAGCAGGATATGACGTACCCACGATCAGCAGGATGACCCCTGAGGTGTGCTAAATTGTACAAATAAAAGAGGAGACTAGCATGATATGCAAAGTATGCAACAGCTGTGATTTTTATTTCTTTCCATATGTGTGATGCACTTCAGGATCTCACAGCCATTGGAGTAACAAAACCAGGCCACAGAAAGAAGATCTCAATGGAGATTGGCAAACTGAGTATCCCAGAGTGGCTACCGGATTACATTCCTGTGAGAAATCGTGTCATGTCATCCCACTCGCATGTTGTACTGTTAATGAAATCCAGCTGTTTCTCTCAGATTTGTTATAAATCTCATAAAATCTCCCGTACTTCCTTTTTTTATCTTTCTTTTTAACCTCTGCCCATGTGTTTTTGACAGTCTAACCTGGGGGAGTGGCTCAGTGTGATTGGATTGCCTCAGTACCAGAAAAGATTGTGCGACAATGGCTACGACTCCATAGCCATCATTAAGGACATCACCTGGGAGGACTTGCAGGAGATAGGCATCACCAAACTGGGTGAGAAAGTCTGTCTGCTACTAATGTTTTTTCCAAATCATTCACATCTTCACGGCCTAGTTTTAGTCAATTCAAATGTGCAAACTGGATATTAGTAAGTATTCATAAAAGCAAACGGTAGTGACTATTTGTTCTTAAAAACCAGAAATCTAACTGAAGGCATAACTTAAAGAGTCACTTAATGCACGTTGGTTTTTTGGTTTCACAATCCAAGAAAAGGTTCCAAAAGTCAAAATGTTGTTCCTTCATCCATTTCATTCCAAAGTTGGCTGGCAAACAACGAAAACACATTGTCTGGATTTGATTTTTTCTCTCCCGTCTCCTTGCTGTATCCCTACTGACTTTTCTAATTGCTTCACCTGCTCACCACATGACAGAGTGGCAGCTTGCCTGCTGACTAACTGGTTGACTAACTGACTGACTAAAAAAAACATATCACCACCAAAGTGCATCCAGAACTGCCTAAATCCTATGAATGTATGTGTGAAATGCCCATATACCAAACAATTTAAATATTTAAGATCAGCAAATTACAAACCTACAAATCTATTCCAAAAAACTAAAATAATTAGAAATCCACCAAAAACAAATAAACAAATACTAAATTTGCAGAATTAACAAAAAACAAAGAAATAGCTGCTGCGCAAACCTTTTAGAAACAAAAAAATATGTTGGATTGTTATGCATCACACCTTATCTTGTTTTGCACATTCTAGCTCAAGAAACTGCACAATATTGACCATTTTATTTATTTGTCTCTGCTTCACCTCTATTTCGAGTTGAACCATGAGTAACCCAAACCCATCCCTGGTGCCTCCCCCCCTACCGCTATGTCCGTACTTCACTGTTTCCTCTAACAGAATCTGACTAGTTATTTTCCTCTAGGTAGCTTATTGTCAGGTTGATACGCAATGTGATGTTGGATCTGCATTGTAAGTGGCTTTGTGTGTGTTTCAGGCCATCAGAAGAAGCTAATGCTAGCGGTGAAGCGACTGTGTGACCTGCAGCGCTCTCGTGGTCACGCAGACCGAGGCCCAGGGGGGACTCTCAGGCGAAAGCCTCCTGCTGCATTGGAGCTGGTGGCCATCGAACACGCGCCGGCGCACAACGCTCACGCTCACACACACTCCAATGCTCCGCCAAACAACTGCTGCCCTTCGCCTCACACCCCGAGGACCCTCTTATCTTTCCAAGACAGTGAGCTGAGCGCCGAGCTGCAGAGTGCCATGACTGGCAAAATGGGAGGGGGGGCAACAGAGGCTTTTGTCATTAGGGGCATGTCTGCCGCTGCAGTTATAGACGCCATGTCAGTCAGTCAGGAGAGCATTAGTAAGCGTTCCCAGGGCTCAGGGAACTCTGGGAATTCAAATTCTGGGCATTGCCAGGATCGTCAAGCCAATCCATGTTCTGTCAGGACGTCCGGCCGGTCTGAGGAGAGTCTGGGCGCTGGCGGAGGAGAAGAGGCCAAGCGAGGAAGAGCCAGTCCTGGAGGAAGAAGCAAACACATGGCCTCTGAGATGTGGGAGCACCAGAGCAGGTCTGCTACTACGAACAAAGTCCTCCCCTTTTCACCCGTGACACCCCCACTGACCCCCAGTAAGATGCCCCGCTTTGCTCACGCGGCAGTTCCGCTGAAAACCAGACACCCCCATTCTCCGAACCACATCCATCGACCTCAGCACCCCTCCCAGCATCAGCCTCCTTCTTCCCCGTCGTCCCCTGCTCAGAGGACCCCGGGTCACCCACAGGCTCAGGAAGTCGGCGTCTGCTCGCCACAATCGTTCTCCAAGGCTCTGCCTGGAGCCGTCCCTGTGCTGAGACCCCCGCCCGCCCAGATCCTGGCAAACGATCTCCAGAGGGTGTCACAAAAGAAGCGCACCCAAAGCCTGACTCGCTACGCTCTGTCTGACGGGGAGCCCGATGATGACGACGAAACTGCTCCTCCTTGTACCTCGGCTTCCTCCGCGGGCTTGCCATCCTACGCCACCCTGTCGCGCAGGACCGGGCGCACCACCGGAGCCCAGCGCCACATCACGCGCAGCCAGTCCTTCGCCGTGCGCTCCCGACAGAAAGGCCCACCCCCCCCACCACCCAAGCGAATGAGCTCAGTAAGCAGCTGCCCTACGGGCCCAATGGAAAACAGTAAGCTGGGGCCCGAGGTGAAGGAAGGAGTGGAAACGGAGAGCGTGGGCAGCGTGAGGAGCATTGCAGCCAGGTTAGAAGGCAGCAGCAGCAGCCCATCCAGGAGGATCGATATACCGCCAACCCCCATCCCCGTCTCACCTGCTTTCAGTCCCGCGTCCTCCCCAGTCACATATGGATTCCCCCCCCACATTATTCTGCAACATTCCAAACATGTTCCCATCTTGGGTTTGGGAGGCTTAAGGAGGGTGGGAAGTGAAAGGACAGAAGGAGACTCTGACAGACACAGAGGCGAAAGCAGATTTGAAGAGAAGCAGAAAGCCAGAAAAAGTGAAAGATGCAAGAGTGCGAGCTCATCACCAAAACACAGCTCTGGGGAGCGGATCCCCTTTGCAGAAGAGGGAAACCTTACAATCAAACAGCGACCCAGGATAGCGATCGTTTCACAGCCAGAAACTGACATAAAGACTCCATCCGGGAGTCCACTCCAGACCACAAACAGCTTGGAGATTCCAGAGTTCAATCTCAAAGAGTCTGATACAGTGAAAAGACGGCATAAACCTAAAGAGAAAGAAGGTTCCACTCCTGAGGAGGCTACCCCCCCCAACAACCATTTGCAAAATAACAGCCTCCACACTCGCTGTGATGTCAGCGCGGTGAACAACGGGGACGCTCAGAGGCCTGGGAATATTTTCCATAGGGTTGGCTCAATGGGCAAAGGCCCAAAGCCTCCAGTGTCCTCAAAACCATCCAGTCCTCTTAAACAACCCCCTAACAGCAGACCAATAACCCTTCCAAAAAATGTCTCCCCCGCACAAGTTAATGCACAAACAGCCATTCCAAAACTCACCAGCGTACAGATTCACACCGTCTCCCCAATGCTGAGTGGCAGTATTCCCAGCCAGACATGTATGCCCAGTCCGCAACCTGGGAAACCACCAGAAACCATCAGGCCCGAGGGTCTACAGATTACTTCAGCTCTGCCTGTATCAAGAATTCCTCAGCCAAGCCTGGATTTATCAACAGCAGGTAAAAGCCAGGAGATTATATCTAATAACTGTATGAACACATATCTTTAGTCTTTAGATTTCTTTAAAACACTTTTTTTTTAATGCTATAATCCCTTAACGCCTTCTCTTCATCAGAACCAAATCTCAGCACGGTCCCGAATGTTTCGTTCACCCCCCTGTCCCTCCCGCTGCGGTCCCATTACTCGCCTACCCCACGGTCACCAAGCCCAGCAGGGAAAGCAGGGCCAACCCCAGTTGGTGTGACTGGCCTGGAGGTTCTGGCTCAAAAGCGATTGGAGCAAACTAGTACGACACTGGAGGCTGCTCTCAAAGTGGTGGAGAACCAACTGGCAGAAGGGAGCAGTGTGGACAGGTATGGACTTATATAATTAGATATTCTTTTCCTTTATTTTGAATGTGTTTATGTTTACAATTCCAATAAGACAATAAGCTACTTAGAAGAAATTCAGTGGTCAGATGACAGTGGGTGACAGTGTAGAGATAGAAGGATGTACAGAAAGATAAAGTGAAGTAGAGGGATTAGGGTGTTACAGGGGAAGTGTTAAGGTAGGAGATGCTCTCTGAAGAGCTGGATCTTCAAGAGTTTCTTGAACCTTGTTCTTGTAGCGATGGGTAGGTCATTCCACTATTGTGGAACACCCCTGTTTGTGGCGATGGGTAGGTCATTCCACCATCGTGGAACACCCCAGTTCTTGTAGCGATCGGTAGGTCATTCCACCATCGTGGAACACCCCAGTTCTTGTAGCAATCGGTAGGTCATTCCACCATCGTGGAACACCCCTGTTCTTGTAGCGATCGGTAGGTCATTCCACCATCGTGGAACACCCCTGTTCTTGTAGAGATCGGTAGGTCATTCCACCATCGTGGAACACCCCTGTTCTTGTAGCGCTCTGTAGGTCATCCCACTATAGTGGAACACCCCTGTTCTACTAGCACTTGGTAGGTCATTCCACCATTGTGGAACACCCCTGTTCTTGTAGCGCTCTGTAGGTCATTCCACCATCGTGGAACACCCCTGTTCTTGTAGCGCTCTGTAGGTCATTCCACCATTGTGGAACACCCCTGTTCTTGTAGCGCTCTGTAGGTCATTCCACCATCGTGGAACACCCCTGTTCTTGTAGCGATTGGTAGGTCATTCCACCGTCGTGGAACAACGCATGAGAAGAGTTTGGATTGTCTTAAGCTTGGTGAAGGCACTGCTACACATCAGTGACTTGAATTTGATGCAGTTGGCTAAAGGTAACCAGGCAGGGGATGAGAGGTAACGTGGGATGTTTTAAGTGTCATTGAAGACTTTCTGGAGCATCTGGAAAGGTTTTATAGTACAGGCTTGGGAGACAAATTAGTTCCAGTACTTAAGGTGGGAGTTGTCCATAGACTGCACCAGGAGCTGGGTGGCATGTTGGGTTAGGTACTGCCTGATCTTACTTACGTTTAGTAATGCGAAGCCACATGTTTGAGCAATGGAGGCAACATGAAGCAACTCTTTTAAAGATCAGCTTGTCATCAATCATGACACCCACGTTTCCAGCTACCTTTGATGGAGTAAGAGATAGTTTCTGTGAGGATGCAAAAACTGTGGTGTGTGGTTAGTTTGGCTGGGAACACAAGCAGATTAGTTTTAGACAGATTTAGTTGGCGTTGACGGGCTTTCGTCCATTTTCATATGTTAGAGAGACAGATGTTAGAGAGAATATGTGTTGGGACCATGTGGTTGTCAGTTGGGAATAACAGATAAAGCTGGGTATCGTCAGCGTAAGAGTGGTATCAGAGGCCAAAACGCAATTAAAATGAGCTGGGTGTGTGCTGAAAATTAATCATATTATCTTCCAAACTGACTAGCTTTTATTTCACAGCACTTGTACTCCAAAATCTCCTTTCGCCTACAGTTTGGAAATTTAAGACGTGGGTGGTCACAGCAGAGCCAGTGTCACTGCTAATGCTAAGATAAAAGTCAGGATGCATACAAAAACAACAATTTAACTTTATATGAGTCCTTGGCCCACTCCTTCCTATCCATTTTGAAAAATTCTAATTAACTACAAGCAAAACAACCTCTTGGCAGGTTCTTAAAGATCCAGATACTACTGTTAAAATTCACTTTTAATAGTGTTGCTGCATATTTCCACATTGGAGTTAACGTGAGTCTTGGTCTACACCATTGCTACACCGCTGCATGCTGGGTGAGGCTGCATGGCATCTGTCGACTGGATGCCCAGCTCAAATGACATAGAAAATGTAGCAAAAGTCTGTAAATCATAAATGGATGTCAACAGAGCTAGTAGAAGTAATAGCATCAAATACTAGATAAAGACACCGGTACAGATGACCTTTCAGTCACAACTTGGCAAAGCAATTACAGCAGTTATTTGCAAAGTGTTAATGTATAGTCGACACTGACTGATTCTTTTAATAAGATGCAGCACAAATGTTAGAGCTGACAGGTTCTAGAACAAGAAAGCCAGATTGTTCATATTGTGAATATCACAGTAAAGCATTGAGAGAAACGACAACTATTTGCATTATCTGTGTGATATGAGAAACCAAAAATACTCCTTGTCTCTTAATATTTCTCTTAAAAGATGCCTGACCAGGTATGAGGGATGGAGGCTTTTCTGTTTAGAGTTTAGATGTTCTCTTGGTGACTTTGCTCTGGGTATCCCAGCTGCCTCCCAAAGTCCAAAACACGCATTTTTTTCTCAATTGAACACCCAAAAACGAACCCAAAAGTGAATGTGAGTGTGTGTGGTTGGTGTTTCAGATAGAGACTGTAGAAAAGGTGGTAATCATAAAGTATTACAGAGCTTAGTAAAAATAGATTCCTAATCCTGGTCTCTCCGCACCTCAAGCTGCTGCTACGGCTCTCTGTCCAGGTTTTCTACAGAAAGATTGAACCTCCATTACGTGTCGAGACTCATAAATGTAGTTGTTATCCAATATATCTTATAAGATTCACCCATTTCTTAATATTCAGCTTTTGGATACTTTTTCATTTCTATTCCATTAAAAAAAAAAAATGTATTCAATTGAATTTGGATGTTGTCGTGTTCAGCAAGATTCACAAAAAACGTGAGTAGATTTTCATGGATTTATGTCCTTTTCTTTCCTCATCCCAGCAGCACGAGTTCGGTTAAAGCAGCCGGAAATATTCTGGATGACATTGGCAACATGTTTGACGACCTGGCTTTCCAGCTGGATGCCATGTTGGAGTGATAACCTGTCCTCGCCTCTATTTTTTAAAAACATTTTCTGAAGGTGGATTCAGACACCAGCTTGTACCTTTGATACAGCAACGTTATAAAAGAGGAAGCGTGGGAAGCTGCCCAGGACTTCGGATATATTTGTAAAAGCGCAGCTGAGGATTTTCCAGGACACCACTTCAATATTGTCCAGTTCTTCTATGTGAGCACTTTGCCTCAGGAAACACCTGGGAACGTTGTTGGACAGACATTAAACAGCACCTGCGAGATCTGCATCCAGATGTTATTTTATCATCAAAGGGAAAGAGGGGTCCAATTTTTTTCAGTTTATTTGTAAATTTAGATAAGAGAGAGTCTATGGTGGCACTGTATGTATGTAGTCTGATATCTTTATACTGTATGTCTTACAGCTATATTTATATTTCTATGTGTTTTTGTAACAAATGGAATTTGTACTGACTGACTTAAGTCTGAACAACTGAACAAAGGTGTTATAGTGTGTATATAATGCTATTCTTCTTCTGTAACACAGAAAACAATGATGTACTGAAAGCAGAGCATTCCACATGGGTGTACTAGATTTGAGATATTTTTACCAAAGTTGTTTCCCCCCAGTTTTTGAGTTGGTTTAATCTAATCTTTAACCAATCGCGCCATCAGCTGGGACTGAAGTTATCAGATTTATCTCGCTCCAGGTTTCTCTGAAGTGAACTTAGTCTAAGATCAATATTTTTGAAGAACAAGACGCCGTTTTCACTTTGTTTATTTCTTCTTGAGAAAATGTCTGAGATTTGAAAATGACAGTGTACCTGTGGAACCTGGTGTGTTTGTAGAGTTCAAATCATCTTATTCGGCATTTCATTGAGAAAAAGGTGAAACCGTAAAACTTAAAGAAAATATTTAAAATTGATGTGCTAATTTTTTTTAAAAAGGATTTTGCTTTTAATTAATTAAGATTATCTCTTTTGATAAATGATTCAGATTGATAAATCAATTGAGATGATAAATCAAATGATTATATCCTGTTGACCAATGTGTCATGTTAACGGTATTCACATTTAGTTTCCAATGTTCTATACATTTTTTAAGTTACTGCAGACGACTACAGTAATTTAGGTGCTTAATGTTATCCAAAACACTAATAAAAGTAGCAGAAGCTCTGAACAGTGGTCAAACCACACAAACATAATTACTGTAATCTTTTGACTGTATGGCACAATCCCGTATGCCGCATTTGTTAGAATTTTTCTGTTTTGCTGCAGACCATTTAAAAGAGGCAGGGACCAATTGAACAAAAGCCATAAATCAATTTATTCCCTGATGTAAATTTATTTTTGTTCTTTCGTCGTTTTTATGACAATAACTTGGTGCAGTTTCATCCTTTTTCAAAAAATATGTCACTGCAGAAAAGTATTCAGGATCAGGATTCGGGATGTTAAACTTTTTCCTTGCCATTTCTGTAATTTTTCACTGGCACCTTCTGAAAATTAATTTTCTAAGTAAAATATTTCCACGTAATGCCATACGTAAGATATCAGTATGGTGCTGTTGAATGTCAGTGTGAGAGCCATTCTCCTTAATGAGACCATTAAATAGAAAATCCATTTCTAAAATAGCACATGAATATCACTGGAAGAAAATAGTTGTAAAATGTTTTTAAGGTCTGAGGATTCCTGTTTAACTATATGACAAATTTCTGAACTTTATTTTCTGAATTTTACAGTTCCTTTTTTTATGTGTCAATTTTATTTATATTTGTAACTAAATCCTGTGCCACCCAGGTTATCGTAAAAGGGACAGTTTATTTTGATTACAAGTTATTCACATGTATTCAATTAAATAGCAAAGTTAACCTGCAGAGTCTGTATGAGAGTAATTACATTTATAGACAACTAACTTGTAAAAGTTATACGTTTAAGTAAAAGTGCAATATTATCTGGTTTTTGTTTGGTTTTAGCAATACTTCTCAGGATTTTTGATATGCAAAAATATACCATCTGTGAATCGGACAAGCTGCAACATCTAAGTGTATGTAGTTGTGTTATGCTGTATAATATGAGGATCCTGTCATGGTCAGACATTACCCATACTCATGCTTGTCAAAATTTGCGACACTGCCGTGTTAAGAGACAGATAAATAAACATAAATGCCTAAAACTGCCTTTGTTGTAGTTTGTCTCCAGGTGCGCAAGCTAAAAACACTACCACGTTGTTGCAGGTGCTTAATGTAAGGAACCAAAATATTGACAAGGTGGACGATGCACAATACAAACACACTCATTTTCGTTTGATCCAAATGTTATATTTCTCATCAACATATTCCACTATCAATAGTCATGAGTACATACTTTGTTTTTTTCCTGAAGATTAGCTGTAGATAACAACTAGATAAACAGGTGCAGCTTTTCAAAAAAAGAAAAAAAAATGGAGCAATTTCAGAGGAATCAACAGAATTCAGGAACTTTTCAGACTTTTCCTATAAATTTGCTCTTAAATCATTCATAAATGTATGTACAGATTAATCAAAAGAGAAAAAAAAAAGAAGTCATCTCATTTCTTTTAATCAGATATCAGCACACAGACGCTTCATCATTCTGAAGTCGGGTGCGCACAGTCCCAGGAGTTTGACAGGACAGTATATAAACTACCATTAAAAATTCAAATTCAGTAAATCGTGACATAAAATTTTCCCCATGCCTCCGATATTCTGTACGCGCATCCTTTCGTGGGAAACGGCACATTACTATCTCTACTCTTTTGTATATATTAACATTTATCCCTGTGTGTGATACTGACATTCCAACTGTCATTAAAACATGAGAGGAAGAAAAAAAGTGGCAAATCCCTAAATTAAAACGTTAAAATCGTGATATAATACTGTCTGACGTGGGAGTTTAAAAAATTAGTCGTGAGTGCGTCAGACGGCGGCGTCCAGACGGCAGCAGACGAGTGGAGTCCGAGGTTGATTGTCTCTGGATTCTCCACCGGAGGGCAGCGCAGAGCGGAGTGGGAGGAACGGTCGACGGTGGCCGTGGCGACGGCGTTTATAAGTTGCTGAACAGCTCGTTCCTCTTGCTCCAGTCCATGGGCGGGGCTTTCTTGGCGGCCCGCTTCTGGTGGGCTCGTTCTTTGGCCTGGGCCAGAGACAGGCCCAGGCCCAGGCCCAGGCCCAGGCTGTCGGCCGCCGGCTCAGGCTCGGGGGTCCTCCTCAGCTAGAGACACACACACACACACACATGTTTATGATTCCAAATCTTTAGCCAGGCAGGCTGATTCAGAAGTGTCTGAGCTAACGCTACCTGTGGAGGCGGGGAGCTGCGTGCTGCCAGGGAGGAGCTGGATGAAGCGTTGGAGGCTGAAGAGCTAACGGAGGCTTTGGGCCTCATCTCTGCTGGAGCCTGTCAAACACAGAACACACACACACACACACACGTTTACAACTGCCAACAAATGTCCTTCCAGTTCAAAGTGCATTTGTGTTGCTAATTTGTCACCACCTGCATGCTAATAATTACAAATGAACATCTTTCATCTGTTGTATTTTGTTTTATAGGCTTATTATTCTTTTAAAATCTCTATTGGTTTATTTTATTTTTAGGTTTATTTGCTTTGTCAGAGCCGTGCACAATGAAGTAGTTTTCTAATATTCTTTTGCTTATTAAAAAGAAAAAGCCAGACGTTTTAGATCACGCAAAGCAATTCCAAAATGCTTAACCTGCTAAGCCAAATCTGATGTGGTGCTTTTGTTGGAGAAGCAGAGCTGCTGGACTTTCCTACTCCTCAGAGAAAAGCCTTACGTAAGTTTACAACTCTAATTCAATTCAAATGCAACATTTTAGCCTATTATTAACTTCTCGATATGTGCCAAACCAAGGAAAGAAACTCTAAACAGTCATCGTTCTCTTCTGTAGGCGGTTGGAACCTTCTGAAGCAGCCTGATAAAACTGTTTCACCTCCTGAGACCCCAGCTTTTATTTGGTGTGCATTTTTGCTTTTTTTTTCAAATCTCTGGGATCAGTAGGACCTAATAAGTTTAATAATTAGACTTTGTCATGGTGCAGGTAGTTTTTCTTCATATAGGCTCAGTGGGTTTATCTTTATATTCAAAATGTTTGTTTGTATATTTATTTATTTTTTTGCAAGTTGGTTCTAACGGTCCAAATAATTTATTTACAACATTTGAATTACAGAATAAGAACATAATTGGTTGAAAATGTATAAAACCATTAGACTTTAGATTTCAAACATCAGTGTCTGATAAACTCTGAGACCAAGAGGTCAAAGAAAAAAAGAAGTATCATGGTAAAGAGAGGAAAAAGTGCAGTGTCCTCATAGGAGGACGCGGGTTCTCAGGAGGATAAGACTCCAGCCCATTTTTTTTTTTTAAACTCCCAAATCCAACATGTTTATGTCAGTTGCGCTTTTGTCCTGCAGGGGGCAGCAGGGGGCAGCAGGGGGCAGCTGTAATCACTGCTTTATTCTGACCATCATCCACATTGGACACATTGGACGCAGCTGCCATTCTAAATAAAAGCCCCTCGGGCCTCCGTTAGTAGAGAGAACAAACATTACAACTTGGGGTTAAACTGGGGCTACACACCATTCCCCCCCCCCCACACACACACACACACACAGAAGTGAGAGTGTTTCACCAGCTCGTGCAGTTAAAATGTTAGTTTATGTATTTAATTAATAAATAATGGCTCTGCTGTGAGGTGCTTTCTGTGATTCAGCCGGTGATATTCTAAGTTGATAACACACACACACACACACACACACACACACGGAAACGGTGGATTGGCTCCTCCGCTGACATTGTAGCTGACCCTTCACCATGGCAACGGGAGCCGGCCACTCTGTGCTTCCCCTCTGCCTCCGTGTCCTGGAGGATCATGGGATTGCGCTGGCTTTAACCGGGGGATTATGCTAATGAGCGGGCGGGTCACACACCCCCTTCCACGCTGGTGCAGCCAAACAATCCCTCATTCACCCGCCGTTACATAAGCCCGCGCTCACCAGGGAAAGCTCCCGTTCGCCCCAGACCTGAGTCTGTGTGTGTGTGTGTGTGTGTGTGTGTGTGTGGTTAGTTTTGATAAACCTGTGCTGGGCTAATTAACATCCTGAGACCCAAGCTTTTATTTAGTGTGCATTTTTGCCTTTTTCAAGCTATATGGGGTCAGTAGGACCTGATAACTAGATTAATAGTTTAGTATCTAGACTTTGTCATGGTGCAGGTAGTTTTTCTTCATATAGGCTCAGTGAGGGTATGTATATATTCAAAATGTTTAGTTATATATTTAATTAAATATTTTTGCAATTTGGTTCTAATGGTAAAAATGACTTATTTACAACATTTTAGTAACACAATAAGAACACAATGATTGATTGAAAATGTATAAAACCGTTTTACTTTAGATTTCAAACAGTGTCCGCTATTAGGCTAAGAGGTCAAAGGTCAAATAAAAAAGAAGGATCCTGGTAAAGAGAGGCAAAAATGCAGCGTCCTCACATGAGAACAGGCTCTCGGGGGGAAAAAGGGAAATTCTGCTGATTTCCACAGCTGCCACCCTCCTCATGTTTGATTCCGCTGACTAATCACCTCCAAATGAAGAAGTTAACGTGCGCATGGTATGACGTCAGTACCAATAACCATCGACTGATAAGTCATCGATAGTCACCTGTCGAGCAAACACGGCCTTTCACCGCGTTTCATTAATGTTATCGGACAGTAGGGGCATTACAGCGTTTAAACTTGGGAGAGGCAGAAATTGGAGTCAAAGATAGCGCTTGCTAATCTGAATGAGATTTGTTGCTCTCGCCGTCACATGTGAGAGTCACACGTGAACGCAGAGCTCGGGTTGTGCCCTCGCCGCCTCGGTGAGAGCGGCGTGGCCCTCCAGACGTTTGTGGGAGTCTTAAATGTGAGTGGGGGTGAGGGAGGTCTGTGTCCGACCTCTGCTTTGGGATAGAAGCCCGTCCCAGTTCGTCCAAACGTTCCCCGCTTTTGGACTTGACTGTGTTCCCGTCAGTGAACCACTCATTTTCACCAATTTTGACATTCGTTTGGAGCTAATTACTAATTTACAGTAAAATACTGCTGATATTTCCTTGTATTGATCTATTTTTGGAAATGTTTACCACCCACGCTGTGTGCAGCCTTCTCATTGGCTCGCAGGACGTCTTTCATGTTTAAGTGACGCCACTTAAAATGGAACCGGTTTTTCGTGCCTGAAAGTCCTATGACTTAATGGCGGAAATAGAAAATATCACTGGCTAAAGATAAAGGCAATGGATATCGGCTCTAAAAATAACTAAAATGATTATATCTCTGAATCATTTGGGTCAAATAAAGCGACAAACAGCTGCATGCTATTCAGTGTGTGAGGGTGGGGGGGGTTATTAAAAGATCCAACCTCATCTTAACATCCTGAGACCCTGCGTCCTCATATGGGGACATTGCATTTTTGTATCTCTTTACCATGATTCTTCTTTTTCATTTGACTTTTGACCTCTTGGTCTCATAGCAGATGCTATTAGACACTATTGTTTTGAAACCGTTTTAGGTTTTATACATTTTCAACCAATCATGTTCTTCTTGTGTTATTCAAATGTTGTAAATAAGTCATTTGGACCGTCAGAACCAAATTGCAAAAACATCTAATTAAATATCTAAACAAATATTTAAAATATAAAGATAAACCCACTGTGCCTATATGAAGAAAAACTACCTGCACCATGACAAAGTCTAGTTATTAAACTTATTAGGTCATACTAATCCCAGATATCTTTAAAAAAAAAATGTTTAAAAAAATCACACCAAATAAAAGCTGGGGTCTTAGGAGGTTAAGGGAGTAGATTGAAAATGGTGTCAAATTACAACAGAAAATACAGATAATACTTTGGGGGTGTGTTGTGGAGTTTTGTGCCTGACAGAAAAGATGGAATCACTCCAAAGAATTCCATTTGGAATCTGCATCTGCAGGATCCTATGTGGAATCTGTTGGAGTGAGCTTTTGTGTGTGTGTGTGTGTGTGTGTGTGTGTGTGTGTGTGTTGTGTTTTGGGGGGGGCAGGGGGTCCTCACCTCCTCCTCTGATGCTCTCGCTGAAACGGGCTCAGGCAAAGATCCTGCAGGGGAAAAAAAGGGGAGATATGACGTCCACCGCCCCTCCTCTGGAATTCTTTCTGGCGTGCCAGAGAAAGTGGGGGTGTGGGGGGGGGGGGGGGGGGGGGGTGAGGGCTTTACCGCTGACGTGCTCCTCGCCGGGCGCCACGTTGCACCTCCTGAAGAAGTCCTCGGCCTCGGAGTCCACCACCAGCAGCCGGGTCTGGTCCCCGCCGGCTTTGATGGCGGCCACCACCTCCGAGTGCTGCATCCCGGCCACCAGCACGCCGTTCACCTGAGGAGGAAACACGCTTAGCACGCCGTTCAC